TAGTCTATAATAAAATTGATGATATTAAATACTGACCAGTAGTTGGACGAGGAGGTAGTGAACCAAACTCTAGACATGATACATGAAATACCAATGATAAAAGAAACAGCAAGGACATTACAACTAATAAGCAAAAATAGTAGCCTGTGTGGTTACTAGTAACGCGTTAGCGTAATTAGTGACGCGGAGATAGTAACCATAGCGTTATTAATATAATCAGCTAAATTATCCAGCCATAATGCTTACTATGCTTACCAGACTTCTCAGAGGACCTTTTCTTTACCAGAGGATTCCATAGGTACCACTAGCGTGGCTTCAAACCTGGTCAAAGATTGGTAAATCGGCCGTCTTGATCAGTAAACAGGGATTTTTCATCGAACAGATATCATACTTCGCTGCAGAATATTATAGAGACTTGTTCACTCAATATCTTCATCTTCTACCTTGCATTGTCAACTGCAGAATTTATTCAGATTTTTTACTGCATTCTTCCCATTCCACCAACCATGTACTTGCCACCCAACATGGCGGACAATTTAGCTCAATTTTAGCCACACCCTCCCGTTGTGTACTTCCGAAAAATCAATTCAACTAGCTATGCTTGGTGGAGGTTCCAGGGTTTCATAACTATTCACCACAATAGCAATGCACACCAACAGAAGAAAAATATTACAATTATTATTTTAAAATCAATTAACACAAACAAGAACATAAAAATTAAAAAAAAGATGAAGCATAGGATTCTAGAGCAAATTTGTAAAAAATTAATGGAAACAAGGGCAAGCAGGATTCCGAACAAATAACAAAGATATGAAATAAAAATCCTGCTCTCATGATGCAAATTCTACTCTACCATTGCAAGGTGACCTATAATTTCTTACATTAGTAGAATTTGTGTCATGAGACTAGTAGGATTTTAATTTTGCATCTTTGTTGGTCATTTGGAATCCTACCTACCCTTGTTTCCACTACTTTTTTACAAATTTGCTCTAGAATCCTACTTAATCTTGTTTTTTAATTTTTTATGCTTACTCATACATTAATATTGTGCTAAGTGATCATTTACCAGTGACATGAACTGTTAGTTGAATGTGCACACAAACAGTTTGTAATGCTGGTAGTTGTGTATGAATTTGTGTGTCAATTAGTTCTGGTGCGTATGTGTGCTCATTTCAGTTCTAGTGTATGTATGTAGATCTATAATGCATATGACAGTTTTAATGTGCATAAATCTTGTGCTGCTGCTACTATGAAATGATTTAACAATAATCAAAGGACACTAATGAGTTTCATGATGCTATACTAGCCAATGTTAATTTGTGTATGCATTATGAGAACTATTGATACTCAAGAACTTAACAAAAATTTTAAAACTGCATCAACACTATTAATTATTATTTAAATCACACTTGGTCCAAATTTATAAATCAATTAAAGCACTTTAAGACATATTTTCGTACTCATCAACATCTTGCTCTTCATTTGTCTCTCCTTGAGTGGGACTAGAAGCTAATGATGGATGATAATAAAAACACATAATGTGAGTGTGAACATAAAAATTAGGATTACTTTGAGCAGTAATAGGACTGGTAGCATATGCAGGACAGTTAGCTATTGGTATGTTATCAACAACACTGTCTCCTACAATTGGAGTATCCTCTTCCTTTTGCTGCACTATTTTATCATCTATTGGTTCATATAAATATTCATCAATCCTCTCATACATTCCTTCATTATTTCTATCAAAAATGTCATATACAAACTTTTAGTTAAGTAGATGATTCTTACTGTGTTACAGAAGTATTAGCGATTGCTACTAAACCATATCCTGCATTAGGTGCTACACTGAGTTCATTGGCTTTACTATAATGACATAGATACATAAATTGTAAGCATTACATTTTTTACTTTATGTCAAACTTTTTGGACTTTTTTCTATACCATACTACAATAACAATACACACAAGTAACACCACTAAAAAGAAAATCATTATTAACAACGTTGGAACTATTACTGCTGCTATAGGAACACTATCATCATCAGTGCTACTGATATTTGTAGGTGGCACTAGTAAAAATAAAGCATGGATAAATTGTACAAGTAGCTATAGAACTAACTTGTTAGGGAAGTGTGAATTGCTGGTCCTTCAATTAGTCCTACATCACTCAATAGCAATACACTAATACTCACAGTATAAGCTAACTGTGGTTCAGTATCAGTTATATTAACTGATGTGGTATCATAAGCTACTGATATAGTTCTTGTATTAGTTTGTCTTAATGTACTGCTAGTGCTACCATCATCAGGAGTTAATCTGATACTGTATACAAAGAATCCTTTAGCTTCTTCTAGTGTCACTGGATCCCATG